ACCGCATCAATCCCCTCGACCGCATCAATCCCCTCGACCGCATCAATCCCCTCGACCGCATCAATCCCCTCGACCCCACTACCAATTCGCGCGCTAGAGCTGCGGGATGCGGCGGAGACTACGATTCAGAACTGGAGGCCACCCTCCTATCAGCTTCACGAGACAGAGCCCAGACCCCAACTGCAAGATGCAAAAGGACAGTTAAGCAACTCTTCTTCAATCGTAGCCTTGCCAGCATCCGTTCCCTCTCAATCAACTAGACATCAACAGCGCAGAGACTATCTTGTGCATCCGACAATAACAACACGCCGTAAAAGGAAGTTTCCTTGGGCTATTTGGACAATAGAAGAATCGCGAATGTTGAAAGACCTTAAAGCGCAGAAACTAAGTTACAAAGCTATTGAAAAGAGTTTTCCAGCTCGTTCGAAGCGGGCGCTTATGGAGCGTTGGAAGATTAGAGCTACATGGCTGCCAGAACTAGGCAATTCCTGGTCATAAACTTTTCATTATATTTCGTCAGCTTTTCTTGTACAAAGGCATATGATGGTATTATGGTCAGGTGGCTCGTCAAGTAACATACTAGTTAAGGAAACATATTTGCCTATACAAACAAGCCAAGTCTGTTGCTCCGTGGCCTACCACATTCGCCTTAGATGGATTCAAATACCCTGTCCCTCAGGTACGTTTAGAGTTTTGCTTCTAGTGTTCCGAGGCTAATCAACCTAGAGCCTACAAAATGCCAGCTAGGCGAGTCGACAAATTATTTGGCTAGATTCCGGGTAGAAGTAACTTGACTCGAGGAGGAAGCGGCCGAACTTGAGGAAGTGACCGAACTTGAGGAAGCAACCGAAATCCCTCTCTACTTCTATCTATATCTATCTCTGCCCAATTGCCCTATCCTTACATACGTGATCTCCGAATAGCCTTATCTACGCCACAATACTCATAGTTTGGAGTCGAGGCATCATCCACCTCAGAAGCCTAGGTGGTGGTGGATGATGCCATGGTGTAGAGTCAATGCACTCGATATCAACAGAAGAGGAGGAGGAGGCGTTAGTGGTGCTGTCGGATCCGGGTTCAAACGAGATCGACGTGTAACTCAAGGTCATCCTTGAGAACACTATCCACGTGTTTACGTTGCTCAGAAGAGTTGGCGACGCCGCCGCTATGGTGGTGATTGTTGGAAAGTCGACACGGGTCAGGGTAGGAGCGTGGATTCGGTGACGTTATCGTGAGTTTTCCTGATCGGGTTAGAGTTCTTCCACTGCTTCCTCCGGATGGTGGAATTCCTGAAGGCTTCCATTAAGTCGGTTGAGACGGCTCTTTTCCCTTGTCGATGGATTTCTGGTAGGGCGGATGGTCTACTTGGGCGACAAGACAACGATCTTTGGAAGGTACAACTGCCAAGGGATTTTGTCACGGACGAATGCAATGAGGTATCATTCAATATGTGCAGAAAGCAATTAGTTTAGGGTTTGTAGATCCTGAAAAAAAAAGTCCGTATCTTGCTCTTAGAAGTATCCTCGTGCAAGCCCTGCATCGCCATAATTGAGCGTCCCTCGCCGTTTATCCCGAGTATAGCAATGTCTCATCGTCCGGTTCTGCTATCAATCTTTTCGTGAACCGCGCCTTATGTCGTGTCTGCCACCAGTGTAAGTTCCATAGCTGCTGCGATCTCACTTCATCGTCCTCACTGTGGAGTTCAGTTGATCATAATCCGGAAACCGATGTCATTAGAGATATCCTCTGGTCGGAACAGATCAACTACTTTCGCTTTTATATCCTAGTACGACGTGAAAATCCGACACCTTTGTCATTTGCAGGACCTTGAAATTTTTCTCTCGGGTGATACTCGCCGGCTGGAGAGGCATCGTCATCTTACTACAAGGAATGACAAAGTACACAACTGGCGCATCCAGTGGCACTGAAAGTTGTCCGGAAGCAATAACCTCGCAAGTTGGCGTGGCGCTGGATCCATCCTCGGGAATATTGGGCTTCTTTGCGCCTCGCGATCTTCCTCTTAGAATATTCGCCCTTGACGAGTGAAAATGAGCCTCCTCGTCTCTAGATGGATGCCGTGGACAGGATGATGATGTACTTGGCGGTTCGGGTGTAAACATCAAGTTTCCGTCCCTGATATCAGTCTGAGGCCACAACTCAGCTTCTGGGTTGTGTGCTGGGGATGGCTTGTTCAGAGTTGGCTGTCCGGCTTGTGAGTGGATATGCGAGGTTAACTGACTACCCTCTCTGTCAGCCAATCGCGCATTCCGCCCGTCGTTGGAACTGCCATCCGTAGGTGAGCTTAAATGATTTGGTGTCTGTCGGGCGTCCGTAGCTGGTGAGGCATGGGTCTTTCGTCTCTTTGACACTGGTGGAGTATGTGCCGGCTCTGCGTCTGATGTAAGGTCTACTAGCTCAGTTGGCGGGATCTCATTATCACGAGTGATTGTTGTGTGCTTCCGTTTCAGTGTTGATCCACTGACGTTGCTGCATTCTTGATCCTTTGTTGATATGCCTTCGAGCATGTCAGGGGAGACATCCAAATGCAGGTAGAGCAACTTACTTTGTGATACACTGAGAGGATCTTGATGTGACATCACAGCCTCCCCAGCAGTACAACTAATCGCTTGTTCGTTGTTGTCAGGCTCTATAGAGTCTGTAACAACGCCTTCGTTTAGATTACAGATTTCTGGTTTTGCTGCAAGCCATGTTAGGACATAGTGAATTGCCTTCCCTTCAAGCACTTACTTGAGTCAATTTTCTCTATCGAATTCGCTCCATAGTCACGAAAGCGTTGCGATTGTTGGTGCACCACGGCGTCAGTATCAATATTACCAGCGGCATCTGCACTTTATTAGTAAAGTACCCAAATTTATCATTGGAGATAAGGTCATACCTGGCGCGGTGGTGCTGATATCATCTGGACTGCTGCGAATTGATTCGAGGTCAAAAGGGTAGGGCACACGTTCCGAACAATTGTTGATATGACCCCAGCCCTTATCATCAGCAGGATCATCTAGAGGATCACGGTCGTCAAGGTTGTCGTGAATGATCGCAGGCGGTTTACCTTTCCTACTCTTCGCCTTCTGTCCAGGTTTTGGCGTTCGAGGACTATGAGCAACAAGTTTGGTGGAGAGCGATTGATTCATGTTTGGGTGGTGTAATCTTCCGTTGAGGCCTCAAATGTTGACAGACAGGTTGTCGTTTTATGCACTGGCCCTCTAGTAGGGGCCGGAGGAAATCTGCCTTGTGGGAATCAAAGAATGGGTGCCTACCACCGATCCAAGAAAGCTGCCTTGTGGCCATGAATAAAGGGATGTCAGTGATCGATTGCCACCGCAGGCCTCAATTTCCGGACCTGGAACCATGCAAGTATGCCTGGTTCTCGCTCTTTCTGAAATATTACTCGCTGATCAAAAACACCCGTGCCGCGGTAGTATCTTGAGGTTACAGCTGGCTGTATGTCTTACTAGAGGAAGGGTCTTGTGACAAAGATTAGGCCACGTCAATGGGCGTAGAAGGCCGCGTCACTCCTGCCTAAGATAGAACAGGGGTTGCAGTTGAATTCGGGTGTGCCTCGCGGGAGGCAGATCAAAGATTAAGGTGAGGGGGGAAAGCTGACCGTAGGTACCCAAACGCAGGACTCTGCTCTCACAGAGCGAAGCTATAGGTTGTAGCATTAAACAGGCCGAAGCAGAAGCATAGCATAGGTATGTCGAAAGGAAATGCATTACCTAGTTGCTAAGCGTAACAGGAGTTAGGGGATGAAAAGAGAGAGCTGAGAGAGAGGTAGAGCTGAATTCCCGGACTAGGATTAGTGCTAGGAAGCAGAGATTCCCTAGAAGGAGAAGGGTACGGTACTAGGCGAACAATAATGAGAGGAAAACTAGAAAGAATAGCTGTAGCATAGCTAGGAATCAGTATTGGTGTTTTTAAAAAGATTTACTCCATGACACTGCCCAGTTATTGGTAAAGCGAGCAAACCTAAGCGGCTGAAGTCCAACCATGACAAGAAGAGCTGATTGATATCGAAGGAAAGGGCTGCAATTGGGCTAAGGAAGGGGCAGCGGAAGTTATCTTTAGTCAACGAACCGTGATAATGGAATATCATGATGGCAACGCACAGCCTAAATCAAAGCAGCTAAAGCACACATCTATCTCCTAATGCAACCTGTTTGCATTTATTACCTATGGGGAAACTGGATAGGCAATTCAGCCCTCCTGCGTTGTACTGGTTGCAGACAAAGTACATAGCGCTTAACGTTGCTTATCCATGAGGGCAAAATGTCGAATGTATAGGCTGGTTGAGTGATTGCAGAAGTCCACAGGAGTAAAAGGCACAAGGGTGTTTCTTCTTTGTAGATTTGTAAAGCCGTATAATTACTGCATGTACTGTAAGGGTTGACGTTGATGTTACGAGACATATTGGTACCCTTAGCCTACTTACGGCAAGAGCAACTGCTTCTTGCGTCAGGAAAGTATTACCGAGACACAGCTTAAGCTTGAGGTCTGGGCATGTTCGCTTAGGCAATAATCTGGGATGGCTCCCTGAGGTAGCAGGATTACTCAGGAATCAGCACAGACTTAGGAAAAGGAAAAGGCTTAACTAGAGGGAGAGTCTAGTAGTAATATAAGAGATAAGATAGAATATGAATTGATCTTGAGTAATTTGATGCTACTTGGTACTTACTCCTTATACTGCGTGCCTCTCGTGTACTTGCCTTACGCGCGACAGATATATATATGCCTCTACTTAATCGACTCTGCCATACTGAGTAATTGAGTCGATTGTTCTACTAGTTGATAACTCTGAACCGAATGCCGAAGATATGATCAAACTATTGAGAACCAGTGATTGTAAACAAAGGAAAAACAAAGGAAATCCCCCTCTCACTACTCCACATATTCCTCTTCCACCTGCGACTTGGACTCCTCAAGGAGCAACCTCTCAAGGATCCTCGTAGAGACTGTTGTCAGTATCCTCTTCCTCAGATTCCTCTGATACCATAGAAGAACTCTCTGAGTCTGCTGGTTCAGAGTATTCCTCTATCTCTCGTTCAGCCTCAATTGTGTCAGCCGAAATGCCTTCCTCTTCTTCTTCCCTATCCTTTGCCAGTTCCTCTGGAGTCTTGTCTTCTGCAGTGACGAATGCTCGAAAAGCATCACTAACAGAGATACCACCATGATCGTCAGTGCCTC